ATTACTATCCACAAATATATATGCTCTGTAGCAGCCTATCTGGTTTTGCAAAATTGAAACGGCGACGACGTTAAACTTCATTGCAGGTTGAATCAGCGACCCAAACTGCGCCTGATCTGAAGAGTCTATTGCACTTGCACCTCACATGTCCGAGATATACAGATTGACATTCATGTCACGAGCGCCTAAGTGCCCACAGAACATGTTATGGTCCTCAGAGATGACCTATCTGCGTTCTAGCAACAATACATCAGAAGCCACTCGACATATGCCCCACGAATCAATTCTCAAGATGCCCAGTTGTCGTTATGATTGCGTCGTAGAATTTGCCATCGCACAGTACAGCCAGATTTGTTCATCACCATATTTACACTGCAATCCCGCATATCTCGGATAAGAAACCCAAACGCACGAGAATCAAGTACACCTTTCTCGTCTGCACCAGGCAACAATGCACACTCCATCTTGGATCAGCTTTACAATATTATTACAGCAAGAGTCTACGACAAATGTGAAAGCTTTAATGGATACTTCATCGTAAAACATTATGTTGTTGGTGACGACACATCGCATGGATGTATTCTGTGCGCAGTTGGCAGAAACGAGGATTGCAACATGACACACATTTTGATTGTGTTGTTGAAAATGAAAGGGCAATATGAAGTTGATGCAGTTGATATCAGCTGCAAAGAACCCTGATCGCTACAACATACGATCCATGGATGCACATACAGGTAGTTATCAAAAATAATAGGTACATGGTCCCTGTAGAACCTTAACTCATCTAATTCACCATGTATGATGGATGTATAAATGTTATAAAAACGATATCACGGGACATTATATATCCGGAAACAATTACTGTAATGTCCACGGTTACAACTATATCGTCGACTATCGACATCAGACAATGGAAAGATCACAACCAAATGGTACAAATTCAATCAACAAGATAATTAAATATTATATTGCGTTCGATTGTCCATATTCATCCATTTATATCAAAAAGACCTTCAAAGCACACATCACGTTGAAGAGTTTTGGCCATTCTCAGTGAAATTATGAATACATTTGCAAATAGATAACCCAAAGGGAGTGAGTCATGCCTGTGATTTGGAATTGGTGCAGGAGAATTCCAATAATGAAGTTACAATACCAAATGGGGCTTTTAGTAGTTAATGAAGCAGAATGGCGAATATTTTCTTTCCTATTCATGAGAGGACAACCTTCGTTGTTTCCACTTGTGTGCATTTAGAAATGAGACCAAGAGTGTATTTAACACACTAGAACGGCAGCTACAAAGAGGCCATGCTAGGCACATCTACTACAGTAACCAGTTTTTTCTGAGACGCACCAACGTGACCTTTGCAACACTTGACTAGATGTCTGAAATGCCGAGAAATAGTATATACTTGGAATCAATACTAACATCGATTTATACGACGGAAACATAGAGAAAACCAGTTCCAGGATACCAGATGTGTATTCCACGATTGCATATGTCAATTTTATTCATACATCAAGAATGGATGAATGTTATTTAATTTAGACTGCTATTATCAATGTACGGCCCAACACATTCACAACATTACGAACTGGTTGATACGTGAATTGTGTGGATTCTTACAAAGAAAGCCTGTCAACGTTTTGCAATGCTAGAAAATGACGCTCATTGCGACAAACCCTCAATGATGCTGTTAATATCATCAAAGACTCATTAAATTTGAACATTGGTTTCTATAATCATATCTACATGCTTCCCATCAACCCACTTGATTTGGTGGATCAAAGTACAGAAGATTTATATGCGTGATGAGTTATTTTGCTATCAAATACCGAAATAGAATCGGGAAATCCAATTATACAAATCAGCGGAAGAAATATATAATAAAGCATTTGAATTTCAATTGAGGACATTGTTGTGCTTGATGATTGTCAAACAAAACTATTAATTCAATTAGGCCTGGGGCCCCGCACCCAATCGTCAAATGCATGACGCTTTTTAACCGAGAAATGAATCGGAGAAAAACCTGTATGATCTCAACACTTTGAAAGAATTAATTCAAAGCAATCTTGCACTCGTTAATGAACAACAGAACTGTATGTATTTGATTACTCTTATTAAAGTAACAAATGATGAAAACTGGAGGTTTACTTCTTAGATGCACCTCGTGTACAGGAAAAACTTTTTGATTTCATTAATATTAGCCAACGATTCGCTCATAAAATAAAAATTGCAAATTTGCCACTCGCTTCGTCGGGAATTCGGCAGCAACTTTGCTTGAAGGTGGTCGAACAGCACATTCACATTTAAAATTGCCATAAAATTGCAGAGCAATGAAAACTCCGACCTGCAACATTTCGAAGGAAACTCTGCAATTGCAAAAGTCTTGCAGCAATTGTAAATAATTGTTTGGGATGAAATGCACGAGGCACATAAAAAATCTTTGGAGCGCTTTTAGACAAAACTTAAAAGATCTTAAGAGCAATCATAACCAATGCGTCAACGAATTGGTTAACAATGATTTTATAGCAGGAGATTTTCGTCAAACATTGCCGAGCGGATCCACATCAAACACCAGCTGATGAACTCGATGCATGTTAAAGTCCTCCAATTTGCTTTGAAACACGTCGAGTACTTTATTTAAGCAAGAATATGCGTGTCGGCAGTTGCAAATGACAACTGCGAAACATATTCTCTAAACAACTCATTGACATTGGTAATGGCTAATTTCCTATAGAAAACATGTTGACTGGCTTGCATTACTTGTCCTCAAAGTTTTTGTACAGTTTAACTCGATCAAAGATGACTTATTCAGAAGGTGTTCCAATGTTTCTCAAAAAAATTACAGAAATTCATGATGGTTAGCGAACGAGCATATATTGGCTGCAAAAACATTGATGTAAATGAATTAAATTTAAAAATTCAAGAACAAATTACAGGCGAATCGAGGATATATAAATCAGTTTGATTGGCTACTAACTAGATGATGTAGTGAACTATTCCACCAGATTTTTATACTCGCTGCATTTACCAGGCATTCCTCCTCACAATCTTTAATTACAGGTTGGGATCGTTTTATAATGTTGCGAAATATCAACCACCACGTCTTTGCAACGGCACACGGTTAGCGATAAAAATTACTACGAATTATTACCGAAAGGAAAGTATAAAAGGAGAAGACGTTCTCATACCGCGCATCCCAAATGATTCGACTGATGAGCCGTTTAACTTAAACGACTACCAGTTTCCAGTTCGGCTATGCTTTTGCCTATGACTATAAACAAGTTTCCCAGGGCAATCATTAAGTGTTTGTGGTATTAATCTGGAAAACCCAGTTTTCTCGACATGGGTCAGTGTATGTGCCTTTCCGTGTTGGAAAACATCAGATTTGTGTTGATCATGCGCCAGGTAATCAAAAACAAAAAACATGTATATCACAAAGCACTACAATTGAAAATAAAACTGTGTATAAAATTTTTTGCTTGAATAATTTATGATCACATGATTAACGATAAAGCGAATTACTTACTTTAAATGCGTAAATATGTTTTATTTAATTATATTTCTTATTCACAACCCCCTATCACCGAGGGGGACGGTTTCTGCTCAGGAGATGTTTTGCCCAGACTACAAAATATGTAGGAACAAAAAACTATCAACATTACAAATCTTTTGGACCAGCGACGAAGTCTGTCGGCCGTCGCTAGTATGACAATATATTTATATATCATAAATTGGAAGTGCCTGCTAGAGTAATTTTTGTATTTTGAAAGTTCAAAACAAGTTTATTACTCTCTGTTCGTCATTGTAAAACGGTATATCACATCAAATCAATTGTTTAAATTAATATTCAAATCAATGAAATAATGGATGATATTCAATGATAATATGATAATTCAATGATATTATTCAAATCAATTCAAATCAATTGCTGTGAGTTTAAAAATTCATTGCAAGAAAAGTATATACTTAGACAGCACCATTAGTTTTGTATTAGACGTGATGTACGGACCCACTCTATAATGTGCTGCGGAAAGAGATTTCAATTGAAATACACGTTTTGGGGTCCACTGATGATCGACATAGTTTTTCTGCCAAAACGTTGCCATAAATTTCGCGAAATAACGATTTTCTCCCTCCCTCTCCAATCCTCCGTCACATGTTTTCAATAATTCGCGAACTTTTAATTCCATTACAGGCTGCTGGCCTCCGTCAACACAGGCAAAAAATAACGAATGAACAAAAATTATGTCATTTTAGACATTACAATATTCATGAGTACCTACATCCAAGATCCACACGTATTTAATTACAGGTAAATTAAAATTCGATGGTTATTTAAATACATTCTATTTCTCTCGGTACAAAAATATTTATGTTTAAATTGGTATTATTAAAACAAAAATAAAATTTTAAAAGAGGTATGACAAAATTATCTAAATACGTCAATTTCAAATAAAATTCAAGTTAATATCATATTTTTTTAATATTTTCAAATAATGTACAGTTAATTTCAAATATTTTAATTACAAATTTAAAATCGGTTGACGGGACTGGTCAATGTGGTTAGAGAACAATTAATTACGCCAACGTTTCGAAATACTTAATTTTTTCATCAGGCATTAACTAACAGCATTCAGGTAACGTCTCATATCAAAACCTCCACACTCCAACTCCACATGCGAATTGCTGGAGCCACGAGGTCCATCGCGAGACAATTGTGAGTCGCGCCCAAAGCCCTAGATGAATGGCGTACATAGCAATGGTCAATTTTAATATTCATTTGACCACTCTATCTTTTTATTTTTAGTTAGAATCCTGATTATGAGCCAACACCCACCGAAACGATTGATCAATAAAATAAGTGTCGTATAAAGTTGGCAATTTTTAACCAAAAGAATTAGTCCACTTTGTTAATGTCTTCCTCAAAAATTAATGGACCTGACCTTCCAAAAATTAAATTAGAGGCAAAGCGTGGTAATATCTGCAGCTGTACCTGCGTTGACGAACGTGTGTGTGGGCGTGGGCGTAGCCAGGGGGCGAGTGCAAGCGCCGCGCAGGAGCGAGCGGCCACCCAGCGCGCGGGCGGGGGCGGGCGCCGGGGGGCCTGCGGCCGCCGCGCGGCCGGGGCGGGCCGGGGCCGGCCCCATGGCGCTCAGCCGGCGCGGCTCGGGGCGACGCCATCGCCCCTACAACGACACACACACACACATACACACACTCGCACTGCTTCGTTTGGTAGTAGCCCCAGGAGGTTTATGGCATAAAATATCGCAAAAAATGCAAACAAAAAAATGCTCGTAAAATGTTTTACAAATCCCCTACATGCAAAGAAAAATGATGTAAAAAATGTAATCGAAACCAGTTTTGATGAACAAATCAAGTTCTTGGATACGGCACTGCTGTAATCGAGGCTTAATCAATTCGTTCAAGTGTACTCAGTTTTCGAACTTTTGGTTTGGACTTTTCTTTACCAGAACATTTCTGTCTTTAGTTATCCCGAAATGGGCTGAACCGACAATGGCGCTGATAGACGTCACAGGCACCTTAGATCATTCTCACAACGACTGAATTTAGACTTAGAATTTCTGAGCAACGAAATCGAAAAAGCTACCCAGCAATTCTGTGGAGAACTTTTGTTCCTTTTTGTAAATATTATTTGATGTAAATGCCATTAAAATGGTATGAAAATCGATGAAATCAATCAAAAATTTAAAAAAAGGCATAAAAATGGGTCAATTCCTTTAGTCATAAAATAAAATTAACGCCTATATTAAACGGCACTGTTCTAAAGTCCAAAGAAAAATTTAATTTCATTAAAATCCGCCCCTTACTTATTATTTGCACCCGATTCCTTCGGCACCTATTCATATTTCCCTCCGTAGAACAGGGCTGTTTTGGAGAAGACACGGAGGCTTAGCGAGGCCGAGACGCGGAAAGCAGCGTAGAAGCTTATTTTTCATTCCTTGTAGCAGGAAGGCGAAGTGATAGGAAACGGATTTGCAGGCGGGCGGTGCAGAATGCTACTGAGCAGCGCGGAGCCCCCGTGCGGACGGGTATCACCTCGAAAATCCAATTCTCTGCCTGGGCAAACGAACTTCTGACGAATGGGATGCGTGCATGAGTTTTCAGTTCACTTCTTTTACTATTTGGCTTTTCTTCTTAAAATGAGAAAATACTGTAATCGTGCGCTTGAAATCAACCACCAGAAAAAACTCATTGGCAGGCCATGATAACACAAAACTGAATAAATCTTGTTCTTGTATGTAGAAAATTAATTAAAACACATTAAATAAATAAATGGTATTGTCTGGTATTTAATATATATTTAAAACTTGAAATATTTTCGATCGCAATGCGATCATCATCATCATCAGAACAGTCTGAAAAATTACAAGAAAATTACAAGTTGTGTAGTCACTACACACCTAATAATCGATTGACGCCAAAATCTCTGTCAGTATTTACGTCCTCTCCGTATCTGTTGATAATCAATATTAGCGCTAAACAGTTGACGTTGATATTCAAAATTTCAAATCCGCGCCCGTCCTGAACGAACTCGAGGTCCTGCGACTTTGAAACGCATATTTTGAAACAGGTACTTTACATTACACTCAACATTTTCAAAATTTTCTCAAAAATGTCTCAAAAGGTTTTGATTTAACTCTGACTTCGGTTATCGCAAAGGACTCTAAAATAATCACGTAGATCTCATATTCGTTAAAACCCTTGATTTTTCGAAACTGCAGTTATAAGTTTTTTCGGCGTCTTCCAGATTTTTCCTTAAATATGGTGATATGGCCACGGCCAAATTTTCGAAAGCATGGGAATTTCTTTGCGTGATTTTGCTTTTTTTAAAACCTCTCATTTTTTCGTTAACATTTCACCTCATATGATTTAAATGCCGGTAAGATATTTTGTGCTTTTCAAAAGCGCAAAAAACTATAATTGAAATAAAACAATATTGCAGATCAATACTTTTGTTCTAAATGAAAACTTATCTAAACTAGGTTGCTAAAACAGCACCACTGTTTTCGATCAGATTTTTTGATTACATTTTTCGCCAGTAGTAATGATGATTTAGATTTAGATTAGATTTATTAATAATTCTGCTATTAAGGTGAGAATATACACTAACTTAACATTACAGAACTTAACAACTTTACAAACTCTACAAACTTTACAAATTTACGTGAACATTTCACCGTGAAATCTTTCATAGTACTCCACTTCACTACACTTCACTTCACCGCACTGCGAATCACCGAGTTGTAATGTCTTTCCTACACACTCGCTTCCCTCAGTTACACAACGCCACTGCGCTACACATAATTAATAATATTAATAATAATAACGATAATAATACTTAATTACATAGAATACTTAGTTACTTACACTAAATAATATAAATTATATTTATAACACATTTCAATATTCAGGAAACTAATTTATTTTTAAATTTTTAGGATAGGAAGATGTACTAGATATTTCAGAAACATTTTAAACGGAATACACATTTAATTCCGTCAAGGAAATAGAATCGATATTTCGAACGTAAATGCAAGAACCTTTATGAGATTCCTTTCCTCTACAATAATAGCCTTCGAGGTAAAAGTTTGGAATTTGGAAAATTGTAAGTTCATAATGAAATACCATAATAATAATAATAATAATAATAATAATAATAATAATAATAATAATAATAATAATAATATATAATAACCACAATAAAAATGTTCTATAAAGCAAACAACATCTATTTGATTTAAATCGCTCTGAAGGGCTGCTTCGATAATCTCTGTTTTATTTGAAAGGGATTGAACATAATGGTGCAGTATGTTTATCTTTTCAAGTACCTACACGGATGTTCTTCTACTGCATCTGGCTGTTGTTACTATATATTTACTCCATTTTTACCTCGAGTGCGAGTTCAAAAGTCGTAGTCTGCCCCGGCAGTAACAGGTTGTTAGGAAAGTGAGGCATCAGGTGTAGGAGAATTGGTAGTGGGAATGGGAGAAACGGGAGAAGGATCAGAGGAGGAGGTAAGTGGGTTCGAAATGAGGGTGGGGAGTGGAGAATATAGGAAGGTGAAAGGGATGGATTTTGGCAGGAGACTGTGTAGGATTGGAGTACATGATGTATTGAGCAAGCTTGTTGCCGATTGTGTTTTCCAGCAAGATTAATGTGGAGACAATGCCGGATGATGGGTTTTGCTGAGGGGAAATTCATTTTAAAAAATGTGACATTTATTTCTCTCAGTTGCAGTTGTAATTGTTGATTTGCGTGCCTAATCTTGCTGCATAAGTTAAAAAACTCAATAGTTTTTCTGTGAAAAGAAGTGCAAATTTACAGTAACGCTTAAACGTCATTTTTCTTAAAAACGGCTCCAAGTTTTTCAAAGAAAATTGCAAATAAGGAGGAGGTTTATTGTTCTTTAATATTCCAAAAAATGAGGTTCCGTTCTATTATTAGGAAACCGAAAAATTACGAAATTAAAAAAAAAAAGTACTTGGAAAGCTGGCAAGTCGTTAAGCGAAACCAAAATAAATAAAAAACTAACACGGTAATGTTTGTGCTATTCTGTAGCACCACTAGTTTATAATTGTGATAACATATTTTGATACATCATATTGCAAATAACCAACAGTAAGTGGTCCTCAGAACAGATATACAAAACTAGTTGGTAACCCTCACCCTACCCACGACTTCTCAAAAGCGCGAGAGGACACAGCAGAAACGAGTGCATTGACTTACTCTCAGCTCCCACAGCATTCGCAATCGGCTTCTTCTTCCACACGAGGGGAAGCACCACGTGGGAAGCGCACGTCACGAATATTACACACGAGGCAGAGTGCGAATTCCCCTTAATCGGATCACCAGTTTTGTGAAGTCGTCGCTCGTGAATTGTGGCTTAGGCCGCTTCCTTGCCTCATCACATCACACCGCCGCGCTCCTCGTCTCTTCTCATTGATACTAAAATCGGTTATGGAAGGAGAGACGGGCTACAGGGAATTTATGGGCTATATCGCGCCTCTGATGGAGCTCCATGCCTCCGAGGTATCAGCACGGAGGATTGTCACGTGATCTTACTAGCCTTTCCAGGAAGCCTGTCGTCAAGCGGACATGCGTTTATCCGCAACTACGTCCGCTATAGCACAGCTCGCTGCGTAAAATTGTTTCGTTTACGAGGGCAGTCGTAGCGACTTCACACGCGCGCAGTAAGTGCTTCATCAACCGACAGCAGCAAATCTGCTTCGCTACTGTCGGGTCACGTTGAACACTCAATTAACTTTGATTCCTCTGAGGCAGAAACGACGTATATTAATTTGCAAATTCACTTAAGTTATGGAACAGCTATATTCAAAAGTATCGCCATCGAATTTAAGGGGAGACAATGTGTCCTTTACCAGTCATGTTAAATTGACGATTTTAGGTTCCTTTTATTTTAAAAGGAACTCAAGATGTTTTCTGGAGGTTAAATACTGATAAAAATGAATAAGTTTTACAAGTACTGTAGCAATATTTGTATCCGAAATTACTATTTGTAACAAATATATGGCAAACATTTAAAACAGAAATTTCTCTTTTTATTGATACATTATTAAAAATTGTATACTTACATTAATAAATCTACTACAGTTCTTTTACTACTAACCCTAGTATGCATATCAAGGATTGTTCAGTAACTTCAAAACTGTAATTTTTTCTACATATAAACAATCTTACATTAAATTTCCATTTTTGTTAAAACTAGGGATTGTCAATCCAGTATGGACTTGCATGCAAGTGAACTGTATTTAAAAGTGTTCTGAATTATATCATGAAAGTTCTAGTAAAATCCTCAGCATCTCAGAACTAGGTCAAAGTGAGATAGCCCCTTGTTCAACTGATCCCTTCAATTATTGGAATTTTCGTGTTTTTATAAGTCGGGTGTTTTTCACCCGTCACTGGACAAAATTTTAATTCTTGTTTTCCAAAACTACTTGACCAATTTTTATCGTGGTTTATCCTAATAATTCGTTTTTTCTGTTCTGGGAAAGGACGTAAACAGAAAGTAAATAAATTCTAAAATATTGTTGTTGGACTCCGTTGCGGTAAACTGGCAGTTTATCAGAAGATCAATTATGGCTTTTTTATGATGTATACCACCTTTTTAGTTTCCTGAAAATACGACAATACAGTACTCCTAACGAAATAGAAGAATGCTTTTAGGGAACTGTCTGTGCAAAAAATCTTGTCCTAGCCTGCGAGAAATCCTTAGATCATTAGAACCAATGTTTTCAGTAAGAAGTAAGTATTGTTTATATAGACAAAAATATCAATATTTCGTAAGTTATTTCCGCGTTTTTTTTTGTTTTTTTTTGTAAATTGAATTTAATTTTCTAGAACTTTGTCTAGTAGGAACAGAAAATCAGTGTCCGCAGAGTACTCAATTTTTAAACCTGCCGTTTACAATTGGATGCATGGAACATCTAACTCTGGTTCAAAGTTCAGGGTTGCGTTATTTAAGAACATAAGCTTTAATTGAAATGCAAATTTTGAAGTTTTTTCGCAGAAAACTTTTGCGTTTTCGCAAAACCTAATTGAAAGTCATTTGAAGCACTTCTATCCCCCCCAATTGGAAAAATGATGCAATGTGTGTATTAAAGGTGTGAGAGATATTTCAAAAAATATTTGCGTAATTTACAAACAACAACAAAATAATACAGCCAATTGACTTTTATGTCATCTTATACAGTGCACTATTTGTACAAACTGTGTGTGGAACAAAATCGGAGCTGTTTCTGATAACACTACGTTTGAGCGTTGCTCCTGCCTGTTGTGTTTAAGCGTTGTTAACAGGCAGGAGCGTTGCTCCTGCCTGTTGTCAATGTAAGTGTAACAAAATGTGTAAAGGAAGAGAAAGAGAACCATAAAAGAGTTAGCGCGTGGGCCGTGGACAGTTTGTCAGAATACTACTTCCGCCTTTTTACAGGAGAGAACAGCAGGACCTACCGATCGGAGAAAATGCCGTCTGAAACTCTCCAGACCAAAGGCTGAATTCGAACTATTTAGCTAGTATCAAAATCCGCCACAGGCAAGAGTCGAACTATCGTTGAGTAACTCGAAAATGTCGTTGAAGCTTAATGCCCAGTACTCCCGTAATGAAAATATACGTTTGAAATTCAGGGGCCATGATATAAACTAAGCCTTTGGAGGTAGATCAATTTTTGCGGCATTTACGTCTACGGTTTACTGCTGGCTTTGCTCACACACGGAAATATCGGTCGGAAATTCGGGCAGGCCGAAATTTTGACGTAAATGAAATGTCTTTAAGTACACAATACACCCACGTAATGGAAGCACAAATTGTGGATTCTGACGTGTTGGAGGAAGTAATTTTTAATAAAATCGAAGCTAGATTTCTAGCCTATGTTTAGGTAATCAATACTGTTTAGCCCCCTACAGATCGCACATTAAATTGCCTTTTCCAAAAGTCTCGTTCGCAGAGCAACATCGAATGATCGGGATAGTACAAATACAAAATTCTGATATCAAATGCCATTGTTTAAATGCGTTACAAATATTTTCAAGAAGAATATATATATATATATATATATATATATATATATATATATATATATATATATGTGTGTGTGTGTGTGTGTGTGTGTGTGTGCGTGTGTGTGTGTAAGAACACGAAGTCGGATCTGCGTTATTTTCATTATATTTATTTATTTATTTATTTATTTTGGTTGGACCCAAATCTTATGCCTACCAAAAGTGATATTAGTTATAGAGGCACACAAAATAAAAAAGTGGCTAGGCCCAAATACTTGACACATGTTTCCTTTATGTATTTCTACGTGCTAATTCCGAATCTGAAGACAGAATTGCGCAACTACCTATTTTTGATTGTTGTTGGTTTTTTTTTCGCGAAAAAACAACTTGAAGTTTAAATTGTATATTTCACATTTTTTGTAATTTAAGAAAACCTAAGGGTGATTGCGCAATTTTAGCTTCAAATTAGGATACAGTTCGTCGAAATACCTAGGAAAACATGTGTCAAGTGTTAACTCTATTTCTTTAAATTTTGTGTGCCAGTCTTAACAATAGGAGTTTATTCTACGGTAACGCGTACTTCAGTTTGTGCGAGCGACTGGCGAAGCCGTCCAGGACGAAGCCAGCTCCTCAGCCACTAATTCAATTAGCCCCTCCCACGCCCCGCGCCAGCTTCTCCCCGGGGCCCGGGACGAGGCCGACGATTCTTGACGACGCAATGCAAATGAAGAGCGTTGGGTATTCGCTTTTGGCCCAACCCGCCAACCATCTTACGGGAA